TATGGGAAACCCTGATTCTAGCAACCACCTAGCAATGAGCTATCAAACACTCAGAAGACCTTAGGAACCAAATCATGCCCTGGCACCCATAGCATCATGAAGGTGAGTTTTGCACAGGGAAGCACCGCTGTTGCTCTAGTTAAGTACATTTTCGTGAGGATCAAGTAAAAATACATCATATATTCGTGATATGAAAGATTAAATGAAAATGACATCAAAACTTTTCTGAAGACAATCGGTTACCTTCAAAAAAGATACATTTATATAAAAGCACCCGTGCCGTTTTGATGAAGTTTTGAAGTGTGCAGTGCTCATGTTTTGTTCAGTGTGCAGTGCTCATGTTTATTCAACGAAGTCAAAGCATTTTGGAAAATCTATTTGTGGCGGTCAGTGTTGATATTGTGGCGGGCCGCCACAAATAAGTCAATGTATGGGAAACCCTGATTCTAGCAACCACCTAGCAATGAGCTATCAAACACTCAGAAGACCTTAGGAACCAAATCATGCCCTGGCACCCATAGCATCATGAAGGTGAGTTTTGCACAGGGAAGCACCGCTGTTGCTCTAGTTAAGTACATTTTCGTGAGGATCAAGTAAAAATACATCATATATTCGTGCTGTTGTATTTTTGTTAAAAACTTCTTAACATTGTAGTTTCATTGTCATATTGTTAATGGGAGCAGTCTGTGCTTTCCCCCTAGACCACAGTGTCTTTTTTTAGGGCTGAACATTGAAGCAAGAAATATGTAGGGCAACAACAGGGGAAGCTCTTCTTCAAGGGATGCCTTTATTTTGTGTCCCACTTATGACATTTTGGGTGATCAGCGCAGTTACATATCGCAATGCCAGAGCCTAACAGTACTGAATGCTCAATCCCAGCACTGATTAACGAGCAAAGAGACATGGCTTAATGAATTATTAATGCAGTAAGGTCAGAAAAATGACTTGCTTTTGAAGCTGGTTAGATGAATGGATGCTTCTACATACAGCTTTTAGGCTGAACTGTATTAACCTGGAAAAGCTTTAGGGCACTATGCTGTGAAAGGGCAGGGAAACACAGCCCGTTCACTGAGAAGCCACAGAAATAAACATCCTGGCACTGCATTGCAGGGATGAATAATCCACCCTGTTTAATTTTAGTGCAGCGTCCCTACACTTTGAAAATCTCCCACACACCAGCAGCCTGTTCTTTAGAGAGAGAGGAGGAGGAGAAAGTGAGACATTGGCAGGTCATGTTCTCCAAGACTGCGATGCTTGCCTGTGTCTGATATTCAGTATCAGAATTCAATGTCATATACACCTCTAAAAATGCATTACAGCAGCTGATGAAATATCAACTCATTTTAATACCAGGCTTCACCTGTAATGGCTTAGTTTGATATCTTAAGATTTCTCACCTTTTGATCTCTCAGACCTGGGTTACATTTTGAATATTAAACGGGTCATATGATGCGATTTAAATTTTTCCTTTCTCTTTGGACTGTTACAAGCTCTTGGTATGTGGAAAATAATGTGTTTTTTGAACCTTAAACCGCATAAACACATTTCATTACACCAAATATACAAAATACTGTTCTTTTTAGCAGCATCATATGACCCCTTTAACACTCTATTCATGATGATTCTGTGGCACTATAATATTAAGCAAAATTGTGTTTGACAAATTGATTGTTCTTTTTATTTGGCTACTACAGAATGTGTCATCTTTCCTTGTCTTATGACTTGTAAGTATAAGAACATTAAGACAGATGTTTTAATATTGATCGGTAGCAAAAACTGAGGATTTGAATCAGTTCTGTGAATCATTTCATGGCTCCGATTCAGTGATTTGTTTCATTGATCAAAAAGTTCATAGATGTTTTTTTATTTTATTCTATATTTATGTTTTATATAATAAATTTCAACCATTTTGATTTATATAATGTTTTATGTTTAATATTTATATGCAGGGATTGAAATTAACTTTTTTACTCACCAGCCAATTTGGCTACTAAATTTTTAAGTTACCGGCCATTCATAACTTCTACCAGCCAAAAAAACCCAGAAATAAACCAACAGCTTGAGGCTGTCTACACTGGGCGTGACAAAGTGACCGTTGCAAATCATTTTGTGTCAGTACTAGGGGTGTGCGATATTGACAAAAAAATTATATCTCAATATTTTCTGGGATTTTATTGATAAAGATAATTAGACAGTATTTTGCTGAGTGTGTTATCGTGCTGATATCTTAAGGATACCGTGGACAGCTGACTCCTAAAGTTTTTGATATTCTTCATATTCTGTGTGGTCGGTTCACAGCAGTGATAGAAATTAATCTTTTCCAATAAGTTTAGATTGATTTTTACCTTTTATGGGCATTTTTACCTTTATAAATAAATTTTTACTAAAAGTGTCCATCATCTTTTGAGTCAAATTCTTACATTTAATAAGGCAATTATAACAATACTACATTTAGACTGTTACTAAATGTGTACATAGAAAAAGTATTAGATCTTTGAGTTCAGCTCATGAAAAATGGGGGCAAAAACAAAAGTGTTGCGTTTATAATTTTGTTCAGTGTATATATATATATATATATATATATACTGTATATCACCATGCTTCCTCAATTGTTTTATTACATTAAGAATTGCAAACATCTTTGTATTAAGTTTTCTGAAATGTTATGTTTGAATATGCAAATAAGGCATTAGCTGATTAAACAAAAATCTGAGCATTGGAAAAAGCTAGGTTCTTGTTTCATTTTGTTGACTTTTTCAAATGGTTTTACAGAAGGGATTTTTAATTATCAAAAGTCATTATCACTCCATAAATCAGAAAATACGATCAACAGCCAAAATAATAATAATAATAATAATAATAATAATAAATTCATTAAAAAAAAAACTGTTTTAGGAGTAAAATGTAATTTTTTTTAAATTAGAGAAATGAAATATGAAGACAAAATCTTCAGAATATAAATAGGAATAAAACTGTAATTTAAATAATAATAATAATAATAATAATAATAAATTCATTAAAAAAAAAACTGTTTTAGGAGTAAAATGTAATTTTTTTCAAATTAGAGAAATGAAATATTAAGACAAAATCTTCAGAATATAAATAGGAATAAAACTGTAATTTTAATTTTTGCAAGTGTAGATTTCTGACTCAGAAAAATATTCCAGTAGTCTGAAAAAAAAGAAAAAGAAAATAGTTATGAAAAGCCAATTAGCACAAAATCTCAATTAACAAGTGCATAAAAAACTGTATTTTTCTATATTTTTGTAGTGTCTTGCCTTAGGCAGAGCTCTAGTGCACTGATAGCTATTAAAGATGTTGATTGTTTATCACATAATGGGATGTTTTGGCCCATAAACACATGGGACAACCATCCCAGGGCGGTTTTCAGGATGCACATTCATTTCTGTGCCCTTTATGAATGAGTGCCACAGTGGCACTTCTTTGTAAAAGATGATGAAGAAGAAACATAACGGGCCAGAAATAGCCCAGTGCGTGCGTCCCTCAGGGCGGCATAGATCTGTGCGCAATGACATTGCTGTACGTCCTCCACAGGCGCTCGATTAGGAGCTGAGGCCACCTAGTGTAAGTTAAAAGCTCAGTGGCACCTGAGCGCTGTTTACCCCATTATTAGTTGGCATAGCATGCTCTTTGCAGACCTCAGAGCAGCTCACAACTGGGAAAGTGTTGTCTCAAGGCCGAGGCAGTCAAGGATCTTGCTGGAGAATGACATTGAGGCCTTAAGGTGGCTTAAGGAGGAAGCTGTTAAAGATTTCTGAGCAGGGATACTTTCTGCATGGATGCCACATGGCAGGAGATCTCTTGTAATTGCGGAGTGTGAAGAGACATTGAGCTCAAGGATCAGATGCTTTGTGTTTCACAGTGTACACATGTTGACGGTCGTGCATTTTGAGACACGGCTAATTGTAACATGATAGAAAGCTCTTCCTGACCATTAAGGCCGAAAGCAGCTAGTTAAACTTGCATTATGGGCTTCTGTTGCCTTATTTCACCCGTTTTGTGTTATTTATGTCTGTTCAATTCAAGGGCTGGTCTCCAAATAACTTCCTACACGAGATCAATGACAATGTCACCACATTAACCTCAGCTCAAAGGCTTCTGGCTTATTATGAAATTAAGCCTTTTAATTAATTGAATCATTCAAAACTTGATTTAACCATCCCAGATGTATTGAATAATTCAGCAATGGTTTTATGTATTTTAAGATTTTTACTAATGGATAAAGACACCTGGCGCTTTAAGACAGTCCTCAAGCATGCAGTCGACTTTTCCTGATGTCGTGACTGTCGTCTCATACCAGAGGGAGAAATATTAGACCTGTTTTGAACACTTGCTATGATTCATTGAGATATATATTTTAAAATGGTATTTAATGCATTATAATTCATTCATTACTTTAATTTGTTTTTCTGTGAATAATTGTAACAGTTATAAACTATTTTGTGTTTTCAATGTGTACTGATTCAAAACACTATGAACATCAAGAAGTGTTATTAAATAAGATTTAATACAGAAATTAGAGTACAGAACCAATGTATATAGATATAACCAAATGTACAAATAACACACTATGTAAATAAATTATTGTATGCGAGGTTTGGATATAATTGTAATGCAAATGAATATCGTATTCTACATGTGGACTTTTATGTAGGCTATATAAGACATTTAAATATATAGCCCGGAAATTGGTGCAGAAAAGTAAAATCTCCAAAAAGGCAAGTTTGATAAGGCTGGGTTTTATACCATATATGCATATTTATATAATGTGTTATAGGGTGCATCTCACAAAAAAAAAATGCCTAGGTTAAATGTCACTTTAAAATCAGAAGAAAATAAAAAAAATATTTTGCATGAAGAAAATTAAGCCTGTTTTAGGACCATTAAGATTAAGATTGCATATTGACAATATTTTCAGGCCAAACAAATGAATTTGTTTTCAATTAAATTAACATTTATTTATTTTTCTCTCTCCATAGTCCTATAGAATCTTGTCAGAATTTCTACAAAGACTTCACATTGCAAATTGACATGGCATTCAACGTGTTCTTCTTACTCTACTTTGGCCTGCGCGTAAGTACATATATTTAACTTTCATATTTAACATCTATTTACCACATTCTGTACACTCAATATTGTGTTTTGGCCCCAAAACTGTTAATGTTTGACTACTAATTGTTCATTCTAATGTTCATTCATCTTAATTGTTCATTCTTCTTACTAAAATGTGATCCCCTTCAGGGCTCCAGACTGCGACCACCGCGTTGTCCAGCTCATAAGCGCTGCCATTTCTGTTGCATTTGAGAAACATCAAACGGCAAACGAAACGAAAGCGAAACTAAACCGCGCTACTTTCAGCTAGGCAGTGCGGACTGTTCATCAGCTCGCACCGTGATGCAAGTAAACTTGCCCGAGCTCAGAACAGCTTTACTCGCACCGCGTTGTCCAGCTCATAAGCGCTGCCATTTCTGTTGCATTTGAGAAACATCAAACGGCAAACGAAACGAAAGCGAAACTAAACCGCGCTACTTTCAGCTAGGCAGTGCGGACTGTTCATCAGCTCGCACCGTGATGCAAACAAACTTGCCCGAGCTCAGAACAGCTTTACTTGGGAGCCAAAGTTGATTTCGCGACACTGTTACTGCACGGATGCAACAGTGCTGCGAGATCCAGTGAGAAGCGTTTTAATTCGCCGCACAATGATAAGGTTGCTGCGAGATCTAGTGAGAATTATTCAAATTCTGCACAGAATTCTCGGTTATAAACAGCGCTGACATACGTCAGGAAACCAGAAGCGATAACGCTAACTGTAACCATGGTGTTGTGGTAGAAATAATCGAATGCATTACATCATTCATTTCAGTGTTTTTACAACCTCTTGAGAGAGAAATTCAAGCACTTTTCAATGACTTTCAAGCATTTCACACAACTATTTCCAGCACTTTAAAGCTCTAAAACGATCCAGTTTGAATGTTATTTTTAATGGGATAACCAAAATATACTTTGTGGTAAACAAACACTTATGTAAAATAAGTAATTAATAAATGGCTTATTAATCATTAATTTCTACTTTTTCTCTATATTTTGAAATTATAACATCACTATTATAAAATATCAAATCATCAAGAAATCAGATTTTGTCCGAATTTTACACTTTTTTGTGTATGAAGAAAAGTGGCAAAGTGCCTTGAAAAACAAACTTTTCTTCAATTTGCTATTAAATCACACATAGCTATATTTTGACACTCCCGCACACCACCCCCAGCGCAACCAAATCTGCTCCTGGCGCCACCATCTGTAGAACTTAGTGGCGCTGGTGCCACTGCTCTGAAATGTTAGTCTGGAGCCCTGCCCTTTAAAATTATGTAATATATATATTTTTTCTTTTCATCTTCTTCCAGTTCATAGCAGCCAATGATAAGCTGTGGTTCTGGTTGGAGGTGAACTCAGTGGTGGACTTCTTCACCGTACCGCCTGTGTTTGTGTCAGTGTATCTGAACAGGAGCTGGCTGGGTAAGTCTCCAAACACTCTCCTCACTCCACGTTCCTCCTGACCCTCCTGTCAGTCCCTGCACTCCAGGGCAGCGGTCACAGGATCAGCTCAAACCACGGCTAGTTGGGATAAAGGCCAAACTGATGATGAGACAAGGGCAAATGTTTGAACAGGAGATTTTATGATTATTAAGCCAAGCTGCCATGGTTTGTTGTCACTCTCTGTCACGGGAAACCCAAGAATAGTTACGAAATGTCACGGCTTAGAAACTAGACAAACTGCAAAGATGACAGTGGGGCATAGGTGAAGAAGAGCTGGGAAGGATGGCAGGAATGTGAGATGATTTTGAGTTTAATTGTTAAACAGGAGCATTGAGGCCCAATCACACAAAGTCATTCCTCAGTGTCGTTATTGTTATGGAGTTCTCTATTCTCATGTAATTTAATAAAGGTTATTAAAACTTCATAGTTATAGCTACTATCTTTGGTTTGAACAGGCCTTTACTGGTCACACATTTTGGGTTCTGGATGCTGGTGTTCACCAGGTTTCTTAACCTGCAAGAGACGCACTGATAAACATAAACCAACCTGGACCATCTTTTTAGGTTTTGCTTATCTAAACTGGTCTGGTCTGGGATGTTACAGAAAGATCAGATTTGGGAAAGGGAAAGTGTACGTTCCCATATAAGGCTCATTTTTGAGAAGCCAGTGGGGCAAGTGAGCCCACTCAGATGGTAATGATTTCCCATCATAACGTGTTTTTGTCAAAGCTGGGGTGAGCGACAGGTGAGACACGATTGCGGTGTAAAGCAACTGGTGTGTGTGTGGCTTTACTGTCAAATCTGTATAAACAATAAACAAAAGAAAAATAAACAAGAAATGAACATGTAATATTATTAGTAACTGTACTTATTAATGCAAAACAATAGTAATTTTATGATTAAATTATCTATATTTTGACACTCCCGCACACCACCCCCAGCGCAACCAAATCTGCTCCTGGCGCCACCATCTGTAGAACTTAGTGGCGCTGGTGCCACTGCTCTGAAATGTTAGTCTGGAGCCCTGCCCTTTAAAATGATGTAATATATATATTTTTTCTTTTCATCTTCTTCCAGTTCATAGCAGCCAATGATAAGCTGTGGTTCTGGTTGGAGGTGAACTCAGTGGTGGACTTCTTCACCGTACCGCCTGTGTTTGTGTCAGTGTATCTGAACAGGAGCTGGCTGGGTAAGTCTCCAAACACTCTCCTCACTCCACGTTCCTCCTGACCCTCCTGTCAGTCCCTGCACTCCAGGGCAGCGGTCACAGGATCAGCTCAAACCACGGCTAGTTGGGATAAAGGCCAAACTGATGATGAGACAAGGGCAAATGTTTGAACAGGAGATTTTATGATTATTAAGCCAAGCTGCCATGGTTTGTTGTCACTCTCTGTCACGGGAAACCCAAGAATAGTTACGAAATGTCACGGCTTAGAAACTAGACAAACTGCAAAGATGACAGTGGGGCATAGGTGAAGAAGAGCTGGGAAGGATGGCAGGAATGTGAGATGATTTTGAGTTTAATTGTTAAACAGGAGCATTGAGGCCCAATCACACAAAGTCATTCCTCAGTGTCGTTATTGTTATGGAGTTCTCTATTCTCATGTAATTTAATAAAGGTTATTAAAACTTCATAGTTATAGCTACTATCTTTGGTTTGAACAGGCCTTTACTGGTCACACATTTTGGGTTCTGGATGCTGGTGTTCACCAGGTTTCTTAACCTGCAAGAGACGCACTGATAAACATAAACCAACCTGGACCATCTTTTTAGGTTTTGCTTATCTAAACTGGTCTGGTCTGGGATGTTACAGAAAGATCAGATTTGGGAAAGGGAAAGTGTACGTTCCCATATAAGGCTCATTTTTGAGAAGCCAGTGGGGCAAGTGAGCCCACTCAGATGGTAATGATTTCCCATCATAACGTGTTTTTGTCAAAGCTGGGGTGAGCGACAGGTGAGACACGATTGCGGTGTAAAGCAACTGGTGTGTGTGTGTGTGTGTATCCTGTGGTCAAACAGAACGTTAGGAAAGCAAGTCTGCTTTAGCCTACAGTATGTACAGTTAATGTAAAAAACAATCGTTCATAACCGTTACACCACCTGCTTCATTAGTGCTTTCCAAAACAACTGTAAAAAGAATTCCCTCCTTCCTTAAACGCATCAAAAACCACTAGTTAATAATTTAGCACGTCAATAGCCAGCTTTAGAAAACTGTCATCTTCTGCCATGGTGCTGTCTGGATAATGCATTAGAAAAGCAGCAGTTCATCAAAAAATCTGTAATTTTAATGGTGTTCCTCCCTACCAAGCCAGTAAATGAAAAATAAATAAAAGCTGCTATCAACATCCGCCTAATAACAGCTGTTTGGCTGAGCGGCATATGTAAACAATCACTCACTAGCCTGTGCAGTACAAATGCTGAGAAAGTTTCAACACTAAACTCATTAAAAACTCCAAACCATTAGGAGTATAATGGCTTGGAGGCAGTCCAATTTTGTGATCAGAGTGTGTTCCTTAGATGTCCACAATTTCAGGCATTGTTGTCTACTGTTTACACAAGAGTGTTGACTCACCTGATGCTCGGAGAAGCGTCATGATTAAAACATTACGGGATGCAGAATTTTAGTCCGAAGAAATTAGACTTGAACTTTTCCTTTTGACATTACTTCAGCTGATGAAACCAGTTGGATGTGTGTTGAAACACAAAATTTAATTATGAACATAACTGAGATTTAGATAAGATTTAGTTGTTAATTATGCTGAGTTTTAAAGGTGCTATATGTTATACACTACTGTTCAGAAGTTTAGGATCAGTAAGATTTTTGTTTGAAGGAAATTAATACTTGCATTCAGTAAGGATGCATTAAATTGTTGCATTAAATGTTGCAGTAAAGACATTTATAATGTTACAAAAGATATATTTTAAATAAATGCTGTTATTTTGACTGAAAGCTGGGATAATGTCTTCTGAAAATTCAGCTTTGCCACCACAGGAATAAATTACTGTTTAAATTAAATTAAAGATCCCATATTGTCAAAACTGAAATGTCCTTTTTCCATGATAACTGAGGTGTAGGTGCTATGTAACTACCATATAAGTTTCAAAACAGTCAATCCACAGTCAAATGCACACAACCTGCATAAAGTAGCTGTGATTTTTCACGAACCGTTGTGACTTCCGTAAAAAGGTGCCGTCAGAACTACTCAGTCACCGCCTTCAGTCACCACCCCGAGCACTGCCCACAGTCCCACTCTCCTTTTGCCAAACCCCCAGACAACATTGCGTCCATGCCATTGCTGAGCAACAACAACACGGAAACATGTCGAGAAAACGCTGTTCAGTCTGGATGTCAGGAAACTTCATCATTGCACAGTAGGGCTGTGATGGTCGCCGTGACAACCGCATCAACCGTTATCTATTGCCACCGGCGGTAGTGCACGTGACGTCACACACTCTATAACTTTTGGGGACATGGTATGAGACTGTCATGCAGAATAAAAGCCTCTCAAAGACCAAAGAGCACTCTCCCAGCACAGAGGGGCAACTTCTCAGACATGATTAAAGATTGTGAAACAGCCGGCATATGAAATCTATAGCAACATCAGTTCAGCAAACTCTGAATAGAGGGACTACAGCGATCATATGTTATATAGTGATGATGTACAGCATATCACAGGTATATTAATTTTAGAAAAAAAAAAAAAAGCTTTTAGAGAACAAACAGTTTAATAAACATTGAGGAATTGTCAGGTCCTCGATTCCCGGACTAAGGCTAACTATCCTGCTGTGCAGGACAAAAGAAAAAAAAAAGACAGATAATTTATTTTATACTTTATTACATAGTTTTTATTAAATGTAAAACACTTCCACTTATGAAAGGGTTAGTTCACCCAAAAATGAAAATTAGCCCATGAATTGCTCACCCTCAAGGCATCCTAGGTGTATATGACTTTCTTCTTTCAGACGAATCCAGTCGGAGTTATATAAAAAATTGTC